ACTCTTGGCTGACGTGAAAACTGGTCACAATATACCCCCTCTCGTCCACCACTAGCCCCGACCCGTGACCCAACTCTACCAGATCTCTGTCCACGTTTGGCACCGCAACCATGATTTTGACAAAATAGTGGGACATCTCATCGCAAATGCGGTCAAAACCTTTTGGAGTTGACATCAATTGTGTGTTTCTGAACCCTAATTGTGGTCTCATTTGAATGTTTGTGGCAATTGTTTTGTGTTTGCGTTGTCTTTCTATCATATGTTTGCCGATTATTATGGGAATTGCTATTAACAGTGGATTACAGACAAACCGTTGTTTAAAATTAAATGGAAATTGTTTTATATTTTGCACAGTTTTTCTCAAACCATTGATTGCGGAAAGAGTTGTCATAACATCTAAAATATGTGACAAAACATTTGAATTAACACTAAAGCAATGCTGGATCTCATGAGAGATTGTTTTACCCGTCATTGTCTTGACGAAGACCTGCATTACTCCTCCTCTCAGACGGAGGACCAAATGGAGAGTCGAGTCATTCTCGATGTTATAGTCCGATAGGATTTTATGATCTTCTAGTTGTCGGCCACCGAATATGATTCTTTGTTCGGCCGGAGGAATGCCTAACTTGTCCTGAATTTTGGCCTTCAGAGACAGGACGGTGTCGTCCGCCTCGACCTCCAGAGTCATTGTAATTCCCTCTAAATTTTTGACAAAGATTTGCATATTTGTAATGATATGTTGCAATTGTTGATGAGTTGCAATTCAGTTATAATTGACTTTTAAATCCAGTTTCTTATTAATCATGAAATTATTGCATTTAAAGTATCGTTAATAAAGGTTTTGAATTTAAAATACAAATTTACAGAATTAACTACTAATTAATTAAATTGTTATAAATCGTGAAATAATTAGTATTTAAATTTTGATATAATTTTAATTGTCCCATCATTTAATAATACAAAATAATATCCAGGTATTAATTTCCCTTATTTTTACAATTAAAAGCTTATTCTCGAGAATTGCTAATTAAGATTCATTAGGAAATTTATTCATAATTAAGATTCAAAAGTTTTATGACATTTTTTATTTCATGAAACAAATGATAAAAATATACAGTACTATATAATATATACATGTACATAAATTTATATTATAGTAAATTTAATGTAATGTTTATCTATAAAACTAAAACTAGAAAATCTTTAATTTAAAATAAATTTTAAGTAGCATTTAAATTAAATTATATAGTTATACAGATATCTGTAATTTTATCAAAACTTGTCTAAAAATGATTAATTATCAGAATTAGTAAAACATTTGGTGTGCACTCGAGTATAACATCAAACCAACATAGATGAAATAATTGCATAAAAATATTTATTTTATAACACAATAATTCGTATAATAAAATTATTAATAACAAATGCAAATCATATTTTTATTGCACTAATTTATAAAATAAAGTTACATGTAAATTGTTTATGGTGATCTTTATTAAAATTCAAATTGATAAATTATTGTGTGAATTAAATCACATGTTTCTTACAAGTACCAATTGATTATACCTCGTTCATTTAGTGTCCTGTTTAGCTCAAATGGTTCAAATTCCATGTGAATTGGCATAATATCTATCACTTTTAAGGTAAAAGTTTTAACATTATATAAAGTAACTTTAACGTTAAACACAAAATACATTTTACTATTTTAAGTTTGCATTAAGAAATAAATAACTTAATAGTTGTAAAGTTTAAAATTAAAACATTATGTTAAATATGAAATCAAAAAGTAAGTAATACTAAACTTATAACAAATTATCAATTATTTAAAATAAAATATAATTTTTAAATCATTACCAGGAATGTTCATTTGGACGGTTATTGTGGTAATAAGTGTATTAAATATAAGTGATGTTTATAGCGATTGTGATCCGTGTAAATGTCAATACGATAACAATTATAAGGGATATACCATGAAATGTATGGGAGATTCAGACATCGATTTGGCAAAAGTATTTGAGACCTACACTAAGAATCTGACAGAAACTCAAAAACATTTCAAAATGTTTTACTTTAATAACACATTCGTTACCGAAATCGGCGACAACTCATTCAAAAGCCTGACGTTTGAGTGGATAAGCATTGAAGAGGCCATGAGTTTGGAGAAGATCTCGAAGAATGCGTTCAACAATGAGACCAATTATGCGACAAAATCTATAAGAATTCATTCAAATACCAAACTCTCAAATCCTGACAACAGTTTGTTTGAGGCGTTGAGTAAATTTGTGAACATTGAAGACATTGATGTCTCGTATAATAACTTACAGGAAATACCCGCCAATGCTTTTAAGCCACTAAATGGCTATCAAACCAAACTTAAAGACATTACAATTTGCGACACAACTATTGAAGTATTGGGCGCTAAAGCCTTTTGGTCGATACCCGCTCTCAACTCACTTTCCGTTTACGACACGGCTATCAGTCATATACCGGACGACGCGTTTGCCTTTGAAAAGCCTTCAAACAAAACTTTATATATCTTTTTGAATCTAAACAAATCACTCAATAGTTCCAGTTATTCGCCAAAGAGTTTTGCGGACNACACGGCTATCAGTCATATACCGGACGACGCGTTTGCCTTTGAAAAGCCTTCAAACAAAACTTTATATATCTTTTTGAATCTAAACAAATCACTCAATAGTTCCAGTTATTCGCCAAAGAGTTTTGCTGACACTCAGCGCCCGACTGAACTAGAGTTGGGACACAAATACACTCCGAAACAAGTGGAATATTTGGATGAAAAGACATTCCGGCCATTCCTGGAGGCAAACAATGGCAATAAAATCAATTTAGAGGGCGAAGAGTTTGATTGCGATGATTGTCGTACGTATTGGTTGTTTAATGATAAGACAGGTCTCTCTCTCAGACTTCAAGATATCCTTTGTTCAAATGGTAACAAATTTAATGATGAAAGAAATTTCTCTAAATGTAAATAATTTTATGATTCAAATAAAATTTTAATAATTGAGTGTTTTTTTGTCTAAAACATAAAAATGATTCAAATAAAGTTAATCAATAAAACAAATCAAATATTATATTCAGATTGAGTTTTACACAAATGATTTGAATTTTTATTTTTAATAAACTAAAATAGTTTCAAAAGCGACAATCGATTACTATTTCAATTGTGATAATAATTACATTGAATTCACGTTAATCATGTTCGTTTTAAGTATTAGTGGTATGTCTTTATCATCTCTTTTCACAGTCAATATTATATCCACTAATTCTCTTTCTTTCATCACTTCTGCCATTAATTCTTCCCTACAATTGACAGGAATTTTATTCACTTTTAATATGATATCAAATCTCTTAATCGTATCTCTAATTAAACAATTGGTGTAAAATTATTATAAATTTATAGATTTAAGCGCAACTTATTTTAAAATAAATCATAAAATGTCATACAATGAGGAATCTTTACACCAATTGCATGAATACCAAACCAATACTCCATTGTATGATATATTACCACCAAATGTCTTCATTTCGGGTCTTTCTCTCACTTTATCCCTAAACTCAGCATTAAATGGATAGACAATAAGAGCCAATGATTTATGCATTTTAATTGTCTTTTCACTGATTTTATCGTTTATATAACTTCTCTCAAAAGCCATTCCTTTCTCAACAAACTCTAAAACACATAATAATTATTGAATTAAATATAATTTACACAAAAAATAAACAATACTTTTGACATCAGCGGCACAAATGGCGAGACCAATGAGTTGTGGCTTAAGACTGGCGAAGTGAACGCCAACCAAATGGCCGCTCATATTGACCACCGGTGCGCCCGAAAAGCCGGGAAACACTCGCAACGTATGACAAACACAGTTATCGTTGAGTGTATTGGATCGCGACATACCCACAGTCTTAACCCCACAACTGATGGCCACACCGTCGGCCAGAGAGTACTCAATTCCCTTATTGCCCACAATAACCAGGTCTTCGCCCGGTGTCACTCCCATCTCACTTAAGGGTACGGCCCGTAACCTTCCCGGTCTCATCACAAACGCCGTCCGTATGAGTCCCAAATCCAGCGCCGGGTCCACGTATACCACTTGTGCCACTATTGGTGGTAAAACACCGACACTGCCGTCCGGTCGCCTCTGAAGACCCTCTATTATAATCATTGAGAAGTGACGACAAACGTGACAATTGGTCACAATATATCCCCGACCGTCGACCACAAGCCCAGTGCCCACACTCTCTATTGAGTCCCTTAACCTCGAGTTTTTTCTACCGGTAGTTATCTTTACGACAAACGGCAACATTTTGTCGTACACTTCGCCCAAACTCTTGTCTCCACTCATGAATACATTTCTGAGCCTTAATTGTGGTTTCATTTGAATGTTTGTTGCAATCAATTGTTGTTTACAATGACTTTCTGTCAGATAAGTGCCGATAAGTAACGGAAATGAAAATATTTTTACATTCCTATGATTTGAATAAAATTATTAATTGATTTTAAAAATATTTACAATGTATTAATTATACACTAACTTAAACTTTATTTTATCACACAATTGCACTAATCTATACATTGTTTTAATATACAGTATGTTCATCTCAATTAAATGTGGAAAATTTTAAATAATTAACATTTCAATTAAGGGACAATTAAAATTATATTAAAATTTAAATACTAACTATTTCACGATTTATAACAATTTAATTAATTAGTAGTTAATTCTCTCAATTGGTATTTTAAATTCAAAACCTTTATTAACGATACTTTAAATGCAATAATTTCATGATTAATAAGAAACTGGATTTAAAAGTCAATTATAACTAAATTCAATTCACAAATACAGTTAAACCTCCCGATCTCGAACGGGTCGGGACACAAATGTTTGTTCGAGTTATAGAGGTTTTCGAGTTATAGAAAGTTCGAGTTACGGAAAAATATTGAATTATTTACAAAAAAGTTCGAGTTATAGANGTTTTCGAGTTATAGAAAGTTCGAGTTACGGAAAAATATTGAATTATTTACAAAAAAGTTCGAGTTATAGAGAATTCTGACAATGTTGTGCTGCTATGCATCATTTTATGAATACAATTGTTGAAATCAAAATTAATAAGATTTAAAATTACATTTTATGAACAGATTAAATAATAAATTGTTACTTTTAGATCACAAACATTTGTATAAAGTGTACATATTTTACACTTCAGTAAACAATTCGAGTAGTGGAGGTTCAGTGAAAGGTATTGGGTTTGTGAAAATAGTTTCCGTTTCGGAATACAGAGGTTCGAGTTGTGGAGGTTTTCTATAATGGGGTGTCTATGGGAGTGAATCGGGACTTTGAAAATAGTTCGAGTTATAGAGGATTTCGAGTTACAGAGGGTTCGAGATATGGAATATTAACTGTATAATGCAAATCTTTGTCAAGAATTTGGAGGGAATTACGATTACTCTGGAGGTGGAGTCGGACGACACCATTGTGTCAGTGAAAGCGAAAATTCAGTACAAGTTAGGCATTCCTCCGGACGACCAAAGAATCATCTTTGAGAGCAAACAACTTGATAACCATAAAATTGTTTCCGATTATAACATCAAGAATTTCTCAACTCTTCATTTGGCTCTTCGTCTGAGAGGAGAAGGAATAAAGTTCTTCGTTAAGACATTGACCGGTAAAACAATCACTCATGAGATCCAGCATTGCTTTAGTGTTAATTCAAACGTTTTGTCACATATTTTAGATGTTATGAAATCATTTGACAGATATATACTGATGGTAACAGCGGTTCCAGTGATTGACTTAATGAATAGTAAATATGATTTATTAGCAATCATTCAATGCAGACGATCATTGTGTCCAAGAAGTGCTCAAATGGCAAACGCGTCCACAATATTTACGGACAAATTGTTTGAACCATTCGTTGCCATCGGATATCACTTTGAAAAGACAGTTCACAAAGACTTTGAGGGAAACCATAGGGTGTTGTGCTCTGGCGTTATCGTCACCGACACGGGTCTCGTCGTAACCGTTGCCAACACTATCGCCAACTTTAATACAGTAAACGTTCGTCTCTTTGATGGCCGGCAAGTGTTGGGACGAGTGGTCTGTAAGTTCTCCGAATAGGGATTAACTGCCATTCAATTGACAGCCGATAATAAAGCAATGCATTATCGGTCGGTCACATTCAATACCAGTGGTGGGCAACGGGTGGGCACTCCTGTATACGCTGTGGGAAACGTGTGTTTTGGTGGCAATAATAGGGTCACAACGGGTATGGTTTGCGGTGAGGGAACAGTTGGCTCGTCACTCAATCTTCTCCTCCCAGGAGTTGTCTGTACACCACATTCAGCGCCGGTCAGAGCGGGCGATATGGGCTGTCCGGTGATCGATACGGCCGGACACGTGTTGGGCATAACGTGCCATCAAAAGGACAGTCATTGCAATTATTATATCTCATCCCAAGACATCAAAAGTATGCCAAAAAATATACTGAATTTTGTTTATTTGTTAATTACTTGTAAAATTTGTGTAGAATTTGTGGACAAACACAACCTTAATCTCAATAAACGAATCACCGATTTGTCTAAATCTTATGGTCTGATCGCCGAATGGATGGATTCGGCAAATAGGGATCGGTTGGCAAAATGGGCTCAACTCGAGGGCAAACAACTTCCTAATGTGAGCCAAGGAGTGGTTGTGTTGGGCTTTCATCGGGGCGTCAATACAGACAAGTAATCGTTAAATACTATAATTATTGTCAAAATTAACTTTAATTTGTATTTAAATGAAACACAATAATAGCTCAACGATTGGTAGGTTTGATGTGATCTCTGAAATAAATGGACACAAATTGCTTCAAAAGGACGATGTCTTCGACGCCTTCTCCGCCCAAACCAATCAATTGAGCGGTACTTTCGGTGTACTGAAGAGTCGGTTTGTTACTCGTATAACAGTTACTAAAACTTCATTCAACTGGTCTTTTGTTTAAATTTTTAATGTTAATATTGATTGTAATTTTCTCACAATTATTACCCAAATATTAAAGTTTAAGTAAATTACAAACAAATAACTCGTATAACAGTTACTAAAACTTCATTCAACTGGTCTTTTGTTTAAATTTTTAATGTTAATATTGATTGTAATTTTCTCACAATTATTACCCAAATATTAAAGTTTAAGTAAATTACAAACAAATATTTACGGTACAAAGTTTTTTATTTATATTAAATAAAGTTTTATAATTATTTCAATGAAAACACTTAACTAATTGAATAATTATAAAAAATTACAAATATTTGAATTTTGATTTAATTTTTTTGTCCACAAAATAATAGTTTCTGCGATTAATTTGAATTTCAATCATTTTCTGTGAATTCTGAATGAGATTTTTGACATCACTTGTGGTAAAGTCTTCATCGCCTTTAAGTTCAATGGTCTGTATTTTAGGCAATAATGACAACGAATTCAATATATTTGCTGTTATTTTTTTACAATCAATAGTCAAATATTGAAGTTTTGGCAAATGATCGGCTATTTTGCGACAAAACAATGTATTAATGTCGAGACCATCCGAATAATAAATTCTTAAATGTGTTACTAAAGTAATTATTACTAAACGAAAATATTAACACAAACTATAATAAAGTTTTAAAATGTGTTTACAATTAATACAATATTTAAAACACGTTTCCATAGATTTCATACACTTTTATAAAACACACAAAATATTAATATAAATTAAACGATTAATTAAGTGATAACTACTTTAAATACTATTTAAAATCAAATTTAAATTAATAGCAAATCAAATGAAATGTTTATTTGTTATGATTTTTCAGGAAATAATTAATATAAACATAATATAAAACATTATTTTTAATATGCAATTAAAAGATTTAAATTAATAAATTATATTTACATACAATTGTTGTTTGTATTCATCACTCAATCACTTCTTGTGATTATTCCTCCACTTCTTAATAAAACTATTTCTATTAAAAAGTCATATATTTATTCAATAGTTATTAAATAGTTGTTATCAAAAGATTAACTTTGATAAACATTAATCTCTTGGATCCCTTAAATTATTTTAATGCCAACTCCTGATGGTCTCTATAACCCCTCCCTTCCCCTCGTTGGCAAAAGTTCGCTTATGGACCATAAGTTATGGTCGTCCCCTATAATTATCAAGATAAGTTTTTTGGGATTTACGGGTCATATAGACCTTTGAGATTAAAGTGTTTTGTGGTGTTTTTAAACGTGGTATATATCAATATTTACAGGACCTGATTCTCAATCCCTTCATATGTATAGTATTAGTGACAGAACTTATGATAAAATATTCAAATAAGAATTGAATTCTACATATTATACATTATTATAATATCAAATCCTTTTCAAAATGTTTTTGTGTGATAATAATTTTAATTGAGTGCTCGGGAAGTGATTCAGTGATGTTTAGCGACAACAATGAAACTATTTATGCCAAACAATCAATGGACAGATTCGGTGATGATTTGTGTCAACTATTGTTGTCTTATTTGTCACTCGAAGAGCGGTTCCGATACGAAGAGGTGTCCAAACAGTGGCAAAGAGTTATATATGAGACACAAACTCATTTCATATTAAGTTATGTGTTTTTGAAACATTTCAATATCTCTAAAATCGACAATTGGTTTGAATTATTAATTAAAAAGTTTCAAAACATCTCAAGACTGGACTTAAGCATTATATGCAATCAATCAATGCTTGAATTAATTATCAGACATTGCATTCATTTAAATGACATTTATTTCTACAGTAATTGTATGATAAATGTCTGTTTTGATGATATTTTCCCGACATTTGCCACAAAACTAAAGACAATTCGCGCATCGCTTTCGAGATCAACGCCTATTCTTCAATCCATTGAAACTAATGTTGAGTTTTGTTCAAAATTAACGCAATTAGACATACAATTTGATGACTATATGTTTAACCAATTATTTGGTCTCAAAGGCGTTGAAAATAAAGTTTTGTTCCCAAAACTGCACACAATTTCATTTAGATATATGACTGAAAATATGTATAATTTTGATAATTTTGTGCAAAACTATAAAAATAGTATAAAATCATTTAAAGTGTGCTTTTATTCCATTCGCGAACAGAAAT